GTTGAGGAATTCTGGGAGTTGAAATCCACACAATTTAAAGTGCCCAAGGTTGAGAAACGCTCTACTACTGGTAGTAGAGAATGGAGACACTGACTTCTTTGGTAACTTCCAACTTGTGATTTCATGAACATCCCACTTCATAAGGCAGCAACAACATATGGCTTTAAAAAAGGAAGGGCACTTTGATGTCCTGGGCAGATCCACTATCTTGATTTCTTTACGGGGTGACTCTGATTTCCAGCATGTAGTATTTCACGGTTAGAGGTAGACAGCCTCTCTAAGCATTTCTTGGGGTGAGTAGGTGTCAATGGGGAAATGCATATACTGGATTTCTGTACAATCATATCCATTGTACAATGAGTGTGTTGTGATCCATAAGTCACCTTTTTGCCTTTTTTTTTAAATAGCTCACTTTAGTTTTGAGGGCAATGGAAGGATTTCAAAGGGTGTCAGATATGAGGGATTAGGATTCCCCCCCCCCATCCTCCAGTTAACCCATTATCGGTCTAAAACTTGATTGACACTGGTTGCATGCAGCAAATAGAAATCCAACTTATTGCAAGCCCAAAGATCTATTTTGATCTGATCCTCTGCAAGAGAATCTGTGAATCGGATTTAACACAGTATTTGTAAACTCTATGTAGGCTCTCCTTAATCCGTATATATGAGCTTCTTGGGATTTCCCATACAGTACACTTGTCAATTGAATCCAAATGCAGTTTTTTTAAAGTTCCCTACCCTATTCAGACATTAGATGTACATCTGATTCTATCCAGCCTTAAGGCAAGCAGGGGGTTGGACTACAAGACCTTTAAGGTCCCTTTCGATTCTATTGTTCTGTGTTAAGGCAATCTTCCTCTGGGGCATCCTTTGTGTTTATGTCACTCCTAACCAAGATTAACCAGGTTAAGACTGACATAATCACTCCTAACAAAAACAATCCTAACTAGGATTGTTTTTGTTAGGAGTGATTATGTTACTCCTAACCAGGATTGTGGTTTTTTTTAATTGAAAAGTTTTACAAAAAAGAAAGAATCCCCCCCTTCCCCCCACCCTTTACCCCCCTTCATCCCACCCTCCCCCCCTGACTTCCCAGAGCAAAATACAAGGTATTTCATTTAGTCAAATATAAACTAGATTAATCTAGTTCTACCTCAAAGTACTACCTCCCCCACTGAAACCTTAACTCTACTACCGATAACCAAATACTTCTAATACTAGCAGTCATTCATAAGCTATTTGATATTTTCTTGTCTGATACTTATTTTGAATATAATCAATCCATCTTCTCCATTCCGATACGTATCTTTCTTGCGTGTGGTCCTTCAAGTACGCCGAGATTTTCGCCATTTCTGCTAGGTTTGTTACTTTCAATGTCCACTCTTCAATAGTAGGCAAAGAGTCTTTGTTCCAATATTGAGCTACCAGCAGCCTAGCTGCTGATATTAAGTTCGGAATCAATTTAGTCTCTGGAACTGTACAGTCTGTAGTTATACCCAATAGAAACAATTGAGGAGTAAATTTCAACCTTCTTTTCAAAATGTTCTGCATCACCCACCAAATTTTTATCCAAAATGCCTTGATTTTCTTGCAAGTCCACCATATATGATAATAGGTTGCATCATTACATTCACATCTCCAACATTTAGCTTGCAAATTCGAGTACATACATGATAATTTCTTAAGGATCTAAGTGCCATCTATAAAACATTTTATAAAAATTCTCTCTCAAATTTTGTGCTTAACCAGGATTGTTTTTGTTAGGAGTGATTATGTTACTCCTAACCAGGATTGGTTTTGAGAGGATGATAGCTTCTTTGGTGGGGATATTTATCATAGCCATGGATGTATGACTCTTGGAAAGCATGAACCTGATTTTGAAGGAAGATAGTGGTTAGACTGGACAGCCCTCTGGCTGAATGTTTAAATTTGGGTTTCTACTGAGCAGGGGTTGGTCTGGATGGCCTCAAGGGCACCCTTCCAACATTTTGGTACCAAGAGTCTCCCCCTTTCCCTCCGCCATGCTCCTAACTGCAACTCCCAAGGCTGTTATTTCTAGTTGTAAAATTCAAGGCATATGATTATACCCATGTGTTTAATGCAACTTTTTCCAATTAGCATCCAGATTCATATGTTGACCTTTGACTTCAGCTAATCACTGTGCTGGCTGGGAATTTGTAATCGCAGCATATCCAGAAGACAGGGAAGGGTGCTTTAAAGCTACTACAGGCAGTCTTCCACTTACTTACCACGGTTCATTTAGTGACCATTTGAACTTAACAACAGCATCGAAAAAGGTGACTTTTGACCGTTTTTTTTCACACTTACGATCCTTGCGGCATCCATATAGTCACGTGATCAAAATCCAGAGACTTGGCAACTGACTCATATTTATGACGGTTGCAGTGTCTCTTTTTGCGACCTTCTGACAAGCAAAGTCAAGGGGGGAAAGCCAGATTCGCTTAACAGCCGTGTTACTAACTTAAACAGCTGCAGTGATTCACTTAAATGTCGTAAATGGGTCAAAATTCACTTAACAAATGCCTCACTTAGCAACAAATTTTAGGCTCTGTTGTGGTTGTAAGTCGAGGACTACCTGTACTAAAGATTAATAATGATTATTTCAGATTAAGATTATTTAAGATCCCATTATTAATCTTCAAGAAGAGGGGAAATGAGTTTAAGATTGTGCAATTAAGTGTGCAATTGTAAGCATCTGTGGGGTTACAGTAACCCCACAAACACAACCTATTTTCTAGAAGTTGCACTTTTTAAGATCCTACCCATGTAGGAAGGTCGTAACATGAGGACTAGAAGAATGTATGATCAGTTTATCCAATTGACCTCAATGCCTTTTAGATTGCATAGCAACCCAGGTCCCTCCTCCTGGCTTAGATTTTGCTTTTTTGAAAGTAATTCCTCTTGAATATTGGGCTACTTACTTTCAGGTGAATAATTCATTTCCAAGCTCTATTTAGCAGGGACCACCTCTCTCGAGTTTCTTTGCCTTTACAAGGTGACCCCGTCTTACTGTCATAAGGTATTTTGCTTTGCACAAAAGCTACTGATTAGCAAAGAAGGGGCCCTCCTCCGTGGAAGGATTTAGATGGTTAAAGGTGGGGAAATGCCCTTTTAACCTTCTGCAGAATTCTTGTGTTGGCCCAAGTAGCCATTAGGACATTTTAAGCATATGGTTGAAAACGTAGATCTGGCACAATCTTGGGTTTTGGGAGAAGATTTTTTTAAGGGCCTGGTTTTGATTCTCTCAGCTGCCCAACGTGAACTTCCTCTCAAAGCCTCCAGAAGTTGTGAATGCTCCAACACTGGGAGTTTTTTTTTTTTTAAGAAGAGATCAGACAACCATTTTAGAACATAGAATAAGTAAGAGTTGGAAAGGGACCTTGGAGGTCATCTAACCCAACCCCCTGCATGAGCAGGAGACCACATACCATTTCAGAAAAAAAAATGGCTGTCCCATCTCTTGAAAGCTCTAATGATGATTCATCCACAACTTCTGAAGGCAAGCTCTTCATTAGGAAATTTCTTCTTAGTTGTTTCTCTCCTTGATTAATTTCCATCCTTTGGTTCCTGTTTTGCTTTCTGGTGCTTTGGAAAATAGATTATCGTCCAGGTGGGTGGGCATATGGCCTACTGCGGTCACTGTTACTGGTTGACCCGAACTGGACAGAACCAGCTGAATCCCACAACTGGTTGACAACCTCTCTTCTTTATGACAGCCCCTCAAACATTGGGACACTTCTATCATGTCTCCCCTAGTCCTTTTCACTAGACTAGGAACATATCCAATTCCTGCAACTATTTTTCCTATGGTTTAGTCTCCAGCTCCCTAATTATTTGTCTGAAATGGTATAGTTTTTCCTGCCTGAGCAGGGCACTGGACTAGAAGACTTCCAAGGTCCCTTCTAACTCTCTTATTGGGTTAAAGCCAGTAAATTAGACCTTATTAATATATATAGAATATTCAGAAAGTTTAATAGGTTTAATAGTAAAAATAAAATGAGGTTAGACAGCCAAAATAAGGAGGAGTATGTTGAGATTAACAGTAAATATGAAATGAATACGTTGGGTTTAATAACAGAAACAAAGATGATAATGTTGAGTTTAACAGTAAAAATAAAATAATTATGTTGAAATTAAATATTTTTTGAATGCTTATAATAACTGTAATGACTTATATTTTTAAAATATATCCATTTAAGTAAAAAGAGAAAAATGGAATGATATTTATTTGGTTAGGTTTTAAGATTTAAGTAACGGGTTTTTGGGATAATGGCATAGTTAAATAGATAGAATTGAGGGAAATAACTGAGTAAAATATTAAGTTGTGTTAATTGAAAATTAAGATTTGTTAGTGATTTGTATTAATCTGTGGACCGGATCAATGCTTCGTTTTGGAAAAGATGTGTTTTATGTTTTTAAAAAAATAATAAACTTTTTTCAAAAAAAAGTATTCAGAAAATCCATGTTGTAAGCTAGGCTGGGAAGTTTTTGAAAAATGGTACTTTCATGTTGGAAGTGTGGAATTGACATCTCCCTGAGAAGATGACCAGGAACTGATTTAAAGAAGATTTACCTTTTATAACAAGTAACTTTCAGCCAGATGCCCATCCTTTTTACTGCTCTGGTCTCCATAAAGCAGGGGTCTCCAATCTTGGCAACTTTAAGACTTGTGGACTTCAACTCCCAGAGTTGAAGTCCACAAGTCTTAAAGTTGCCAAGATTGGAGACCCCTGCCATAAAGAAAGGATGAGATGCAGATGTGAGGAGTTTATCACGAAAAATTATCCCTTGGGGAAAACTTTGCCGACCCAACCAATTCCTTTAGGTTTCTGAACTTCTGACACTTCTAAACTTTAAGATCTCATGAGTTCCTTTCTAATCCACCTTCTAGATCTACGTAGAACAAGGATCTCCCAAGAAGCTAAGTAGGTTGAGGTGTCGGACTGCAGTCTTGATTTTTTTTTTCTTCCCTTTTTCAGGTGCTTGAAAACTCTTTCGATTGTGTAACAGCCCAGAAGTTTTAGCCAAACGTTTTGTGTACCTGTTCTGGTCCTTTCCATCCAAGTTGTTCACTTGTCTTGACGGAGTCCCTGTGATCGCCAGTCCGCTGCTGCTTTTTGACCAAGTGAAACTTTGCTTTGAAGGATATAAAATGTATCAAAGCTTGGCCCTTGCTCCAAATCCTGGCCAGTCAGCCTACCCCCACGATGCCAGCAATTTCCTGCACACTCCAACAAGCCCAGCTGTTTACGTCCCCACCAGTCGAGTTCCCTCCGTGCTCCAGGGCCTGCCCTACCACCTCCAAAGCTGTGATCCCACCCACCAAGGCCATCCTCTGGGCAGCCACCCCGGATGGGGTCAACCAGCCACCGCTGAGGCTACTCACTTCAACACTGGCAGCCCTCACCCACCTTCCAGTTTTGCCTACACCCACAGCCCTCCTGGGGGGAGCACTGCCGGTCGAGACGGGGGCTACCAAAGCCCGCTGTTGCTGGGTGCCGGAGGAGGCCGTGACCAGTATGGGAACACTCTGATGCGTTCGGTCAATGGATCCTACTCCAGCCCGTATCCCGGCGCTTATGTGAACCCAGCGGAGATGACGCCATCTTGGCCTGCCAACCATTTTGAGAGCAGTGTCTTCCATAGCCTCCAGACGCGACAAGGAGCCTTGGCAGGCCGGAGATCGTACGGTATGTAACATTTTAACTTTACTATTTTTTACAAAGAGCTCAAAGCAGCGAATATAATCAACACACCTTCCTCCTATGTTTACCACAAGAACATTGTGAGGTGGGCTGGGCTAAGAAAGAGGGATAGGCCCAAAGTCACCCAGCCAGCTTTCATGCCTAAAGTGAGACTAGAATTCACAGTCACCTGGTGATTGGCCTAAAAGTCACACAGCCAGCTTTCATGCCTAAAGTGAGACTAGAATTCACAGTCACCTGGTGATTGGCCTAAAAGTCACCCAGCCAGCTTTCATGCCTAAGGTGAGACTAGAATTCACAGTCATCTGGTATTTGGCCCAAATCACCCAGCCAGCTGGCTTTCATGGTTAAGATGGAACTCATGATCATCTACTTTCTAGCCTCTTTGAAATTTCACCCTGAAGTTTGAATCATGCCATAGTCAGCATTCACAGGGGGCAGTGAGGAGGTTAAATAAAATTCATCCAAGAGCTGAAAATGTTGGATAAATAATTCTGTGCTGAGAAAAGATTTCATTTAGGAGCGACGTCTGCGTTGCATGTGGAAAATCCACATTGGGGTAGGTTATCATGATTTTCCTAAAAGGTTTCCTTGGAGGAAAAAAAAAGCTTGTGGAAACACCTGAGTACCACTGCATTGCTCTTAGAGAACAGATCTATTGATGGCTAAGTGATATATGATCTCCTGCTGCTGTTTGAGCATGGGGTTGGTCCGGAAGACCTCCAAGATCCCTTCCAGCTCTTATTCCAATTGATTGAATTCCTTGTTACGGAGTCAAGGGTTTTATCAATTACTTGCCGAAATCGTTTTTGATGAGAGGCTTTTGACATTTGGTTTATATTATTGGAACCTTCTCAGGCACTTCAGTTAATTTAACAAAGGTTAACTTTATCCCAGTTTTGTGCTTTATTCAGTCGTGGTTTCAGATCTGTTGTGTGAACCAGTGGCATTACAAGGGGAAGAGTTATAACATGTTAGTTAGAAGATGGGTAGTGGTAGTGGTGGGAATTCTAGTTAATAAAATCTAGTTACTCTGATAAAATGGGCTGCCAATACATTTAATAAATCATCATAATTGCCAGAACCTGATGTTCTAAGATCTTTTACCAAATGCTGCTTGAAGAATGAAAAAAAAAAGTAATTTCTATAACAATGAGCAACTAGAAACTGTAAAGAACCGTTCTGGTGTGTTCTAACATGATTGTATAGTGCAGTGTTTCTCAACCTTGGCCGCTGGACGATGTGTGGACTTCAACTCCCAGAATTCCCTAGCCAGCAGAGCTGAATGACCTTGAATGTTAACAAAACACTTGCTTTAAAATAAAGAGCTTGGGTGGAAAAAGATACTTGCAAGCCTCATTTGTAGATTGTGCTAAGCAGTGAGATGTTTAGCAGACAAGAATGGCTGAGCTCACACAGAGCAAACACACAATATTATTTATTTAGCAAATGTGGGAATCTGGTTGTCGATATATCTCCCGAGTATTTCTCACTTCTTATGTATGGATCAATTACCTTTGATTCTATGTCTGTTAGGATTTTTTTTTTCTAATACAATACAATACAATTCTTTATTGGCCAAGTGTGATTGGACACACAAGGAATTTGTCTTTGGTGCATACGCTCTCAGTGTACATAAAAAGAAAAGTTACTTGGCGGCCCAGAGGTGTTTTTTTTCCAAAAGTCCAACTGGACTTTCTTGTATTTTTTTCCCCCTTTGAAAACATTTTGCTTCTCATCCAAGAAGCTTCTCCAGTTTGGTGGAGACCCTTCTCAGCAAGAGCCTCCTTAATATCTATGGAGATTCTCAAATCATCCAGGCCATAGTTGTCCCAAAGGTGTTTTTCAAAAAGGTAACTGGGACTTTTTTGGTTATTTTTTTTCTCTTTGAAAATGTTTCGCTTTTCATCCAAGAAGCAGAACTGAAGAAGCTTCTTGGATGAGAAGTCAAACATTTTCAAAGAAAAGAAAAAGTTCAGTTGGTTTTTGCAAAAAAAAAAAAAAGAGCACCTATCAGACAATCGTGACATGGATGATTTGAGAATCTTCTCAGATACTTTCATGGTAGTATATTTCTCTGCATCAGAGGTATTGGGAGCAGGTTAGTATCTTTTCAAGGACTTTTTTTTTTTTTACAAAGTGATTTTACAAAGTAACACACCCCAACCAGTGATGAAATCTAAATTTTTTTTACTACCGGCTCTGTGGGCGTGGCTTGGTGGGGGGGTAATGTGACTGGGTGGGTGTGGCCAATTTTTTTTTAACTTTTAAAAACATTTTTTCTACAACCTCTTCGGCGAAAAAAATGCTTTCAAAAGGCTCTGGCAATCCAAGCTGAGTTGCCTGATTGGCAGAGGCTTTTTTTCTTTTAAATGCCTCTGATCCAAGCTGAGTTGCCTGATCGGCAGAGGCTTTTTTTAAAAAAGATTTTTTCAGCCGAAGAAGTTGTAAAAAAAATCCTTTTAAAAGTAAAAAAAAAAAGCCTCTGATGATTGTGTGGCTCAGATGGGGGTGGGGGTAGGGATTTTTGCTACCGGTTCTCCGAACCACCCACCTCCATCGCTCCGGATCAGGCGATCTGGTCCAAACTGGGAGCATTTCACCCCTGACCCCTTAACAGAAGTCACAGCATACTATGAAGGTATGGCCAAAGATAGACACAAAAAACTAAAAGGTTTTAAGGGTGGGATGGAAATTTCTTCACACAGACAGAGTCATTACAGGAAAGTAGCTTTGATGAGCTTTTAATGATGAATTCCAAAGGAAGACCAAGTACCCATTAATTAGTTTCTATTGGAAGTGCCCTTGGCGAGGCGCAGAAATGTAGAATGGTGAGCTGTATTTCCAGGGTTTTTTAAAGAAGGATCTAAGTTTTGTCTCATTAGTTCCGGGATCATGTTGGGCAGATCCTGAAAAATAAAATGTGCCACCCAGCTAGAATTGAACCAAACATGCATTGACTTGAACATGCCTGACCTGTTGCCAAGTGTACTTTGGAGTTTGTGACTTTGAGATTTGACCTGGGCATGGTGTGTGCACATATCGGCACGCATACCTCATCAGCATAAAATGCCTTTGGATCTCCCCCCCTCCCCCCCCTTCCCCTTATTGCAGGGACTGTCAAAAAAGCCAGCCCAAGTGGGGAAATAAGTTAGTTAGATAACATTCAGACCAGCCAAATGTAGGCCTTGGGGGGAAAAGTTTCACTCATGAGAAGTTAAAGGAATAACAAGATTTGGAAGGGACCTTTGAGGTCTTCTAGTCCAACCCCCTGCTCAGGCAGGAAACCCTATGCCATTTCTGTAATCTCTTAAAAACTTCCAGTGTTGGAGCTTTCACAACTTCTGCAGGCAAGTTGTTCCACTGTTTAATTGTCCTCACTGTCTGGAAATTTCTCCTTAGTTCTAGGTTGCTTCTCTCCTTGATTAGTTTCCACCCATTGCTTCTTGTCCTGCCTTTAGGTGCTTTGGAGAATATTTATTTATTTATTGGTTTGAGAAGAGTTTGACTCCTCCTTCTTTGTGGCAACTCCTGAGATATTGGAACACTGCTATCATGTCACCCCTGGTCCTTCTTTTCATCAAATTACACATACCCAAATGGAACGTAATTTCCTTTCCACTCCTTCAGTTTTCTTTCTTTCATTCATTGCCCTCAAAGGGACTAGCACCTTATTCTAAGACAGTGTTTTCTCAACCTTGAAGATGTGTGGACTTCAACTCCCAGAATTCCCCAGACAGTCATGCTGGCTGGGGAATTCTAAGAGTTGGAAGTCCAGACAAGACGTAGGGGTCGAGAAACACTGCTCTAAGCTTGTACATCTTCCCACCAAGTGTTAAATTTTTCATCCTTTGGTTATAAGACAAGGGCGACTCATTCAACTTCAATCCTTTGGAAAAATAATTTCAACCCGTAGGAAAATTCATGGGAGAGAAAGCTGATTGAACAGATGAAGAGCGATTATAATTGAAGAGTAGGACTTAACTCCTATTCTGATGCCAATGTTGGAGCGTTAATATTTTTTTTTAAGCCTGTACGTTGAAAATACTTCTTCCAAAGGTTTGGATATTTTGATTGTTCCCAATTTTAGTTGAAACAACTGAATTTGTTGTTTTAAAAAATGGAAAATATAAAAGCTTGTATAGTTGGGGAAGACTTTTCTGCTAGCTTATTAAGAGGGCTGTGCATTTAAAGAACTATTTTTTAATTTTAATTTTTTCTTTATTTTTTTGGAGCAGAATTAAAATAGGTACAGGAAAAAATAACTTCTAGTAAGGGCCTAGCCCTTTTTAAGTTTCCTCCTTCTGCCAGCCTATTCTTAGCCCTATATTTATTCCAGATAAAATTCCCTGGACTTTTTCCATTGAAAAGGAGCAAGGAAACCGGTGGCAATACCGCCGGGGCCCCGATTCCTACACCGAATCTGGGTTCCTCCCCGGTTTAACCACTTCGGCATTTCTTCTCTCCGGTTTTTAAACTTTTGCAAAAGCTTAAAGCAGCGCCGTGGCCGGAAAGGGGCTTTAAAAAAAATAATAATAATCTCGCGGAGTTAAAATGAAAGCAGTTAAGTGAGAGTTTTTCTTTCAACCCTTTAACTTCGTCGTTTTTATGCTGACTTCAGGAGTGACACGGGTTTGGCGTTTCAACGAAGGGAAGCAGATTTATAGCCGCTCCGATGGTGTTTTTTGTTTTTTTTTTAACAAAAAGTAATTTATGGAGGGAGAAAATGACTTTTCGAAGCCAACTCGAGTTCCTAAATCACTAAAAGGAAAATCTGGTGGACTATCACCCCACCTCCATCACACTACCACCCCCCCCCCCCCCCCCAAGCCTTGCCCTCCGTGGCATCCCATCAGCTTTGAGATCCTGAAAAATCCACGCAAGACACGGGAAGCCGCTTGGCTTTCGTTTCACACGACGGAGAAAGCGCGCAAGGAGTTTTTCTCCGACGAGGAATGTCCGAAACGGGCAGAGGGGGGGGGGCT